GCAATAAGTAGTTTTTAAGTTAAAATTTTTTTATTTTTTTAAATAACCATATGATACCTAATATAACGTGTTAAAAATTTTAAAAATATATATTCATAAAAAGGACACTGAGCATAACGTCTCAAAATTTTTTGTAGATTTTTAAAACTAAATTTGGTCGAAAAATTCAAAAATTTTCTAAAAAATTATATGTTTTTTTGTTTAAATTATTATTAAAAGGGGCTTTAATCTCCAAAATATTTACAAAACTTTAAGCTTGACACCGAGACTTTTCAAAGGAGCCCAAACACGGGCCAAATCGGTCAAAAGACGCCCGAAATAGCCGTTTGCTGTCTAGACTGGCGGCCATTTTGAAAAAAATTAGGACCGGAATAACTTTTGTTCTAGGAGTCGTAGAGGACTGGGGTTTGGACCCTAGACGTTGGCAAATAGTGCCGGAACAGATAACCCAGCTTTCAGGGAATTTCAGCACCCAAAATTTTGATCCCTGAAAACCACACAAAATTATAGTCCTAGTCGAGCCCAATAATATGAGCCCAAGCACGGAGCTGTAAGCCTGTTCGTTTGGAAGTTACAGCGCGGAAACCGTATTTTGGCAGCCATCTTGTTTTTCAACCAGAACTTGAAAACGCGGTAACTTTCGAACCCATTGGGCTAGGTATACCGAGTTTGGGTTCCTCGAATAGGGTTCGAGGAGCGCTTTTGGCCGGTTACGAAATACAGACTCTACATAGAGTCAAAGACCTATTAGTCTATAACTCTCCGTGTATATAATATTTTCAAAAAATTTTTAATATTTAAGACAGACCTCGTTGAAGCCTTAGTATAGAACCGACAGAATAGACGGAGACTGACTCTATGTAGAGCATTATAAAGAAATTAGTTTTTGTTGTTTTTATATTATTTCATTTTATTTTATATTACTTGTCATTTATGTAGTTGGACTCCATATAGAATTAACCAAAAATTGTATACAATATTACACTACATAAGTTCCATATTTTCCTCATTTTATTTTTTATATAAGATAAATAATTAGATTTTAAGTGACAGCTGTGGTGGCACAGAAGTTATTTTGGATATAGACATCGAGCCACTTTGTAGAGTGGTATAAATATATAACGACGTAGAGTCGAGACTCTACAAGAGTTTACACATTTTTATTTATTTTATTTTATTTTGTTTTTATTTTAATTTACTTGCTACTTGTATGGGTAGAAATTTATTGAGGCTTGACCTGGGTTCGCGGTGGTGTGTTAAACTGCATATAGATTAAATTTTATTTTACCTTATACACTTTATTATTTTATTTATACAATTTTACTGACGGACGCATACCTCCATTATGTTTGGGCTTAGAACTCCAATGAAACCGAGTGGTGAGGTGTCATCCCCCCCTAAACCAGGAACGTCAGCTTCCCCTCCCAATGTTAGGCGAAGCATAAGCGACTGGGAAGGTGCATCCACCAACCCCGCTCCAACAAACTCAAGCGCAACGACGGTCCAGGTGGACAATACTACCTCTAAACCACGACCGGTACTGTCGAAAGACAACAAACCCACGGCCGCGCGTAGACCATCTATCGATGTCCAAACTCCTCATGGGAGTAAATACGAAAATCGAACGTCGGAAGCAAGGGCCTGCCTGAACAAAGGTAAATTACATCTGAGCGCCTCTCGAAATTTAAAAACCGAGATTAAAAATGGATTGGTTGAGGCACTTGATCGACTCTACCAGATTGTTAGGGAAGCTGAAAAGGAGTTAAAAATAGAAAAGTCTAAAGGTGTTGGTGTTAGTGATGGGATTGTGGGGGGGAGCCGGTGCAAACCAGCACCGACTCTACATTCATAGTCAGGACACCGGAACCAACAAGTAGCACCCAGTGCGACCCAAACATAATAGCTCGAATCGAGGAGCATACGAAGCTGTTGATCGAAAGCAACAAAAAGATAGAAGAGCTCAAGGCGTCTATTGACAGACAAAAGGAGACCTTGGAACGGGCAACCTACGCGAGTGTAGTATCGAATAAAACTGCAAACATACCAAAAGTACGAAGCACGCTGCACTCGGTAGTGGTCACCTCAAAAGATGAAACTGAATCAGGGAAGAGGTGCTCGACAAGGTCAGGAAAGCGGTAGATGCAAAAGACGGCTGGATTAAAGTTGAACGGGTAAGGAAAGCGAAGGACAGGAAAATCATCATAGGATTTGATACACCGGAAGAAAGAAGTAAAGCCAAGCACAGACTGGAAACCAAAGGGGTGGACCTCACCGTCGAGGAAGTGAAGAACAAAGACCCATTATTGATCCTCTTAAGTGTATTGTCCATTAACACCGACGAAGACATTATCATAGCACTGAGGAACCAAAACAGGTATGTCTTTCATGACCTCGACGGAGCGGAAGACAGGGTGGAGGTTAAATATAGGAAGAAAACAAGAAACCCCCACACTAACCATGTAGTGATTAGTGTGTCACCTACCATCTGGCGTAGAGCAACAGAAATTGGATACTTCCATATTGACCTCCAGCGTGTCAGAGTGGATGACCACTCCCCCTTGGTCCAGTGTAGCCGCTGCCTGGGATATGGGCATAGTAAAAAATTTTGCAAAGAACCAGCAGACATATGCAGCCATTGCGGCGGCCCTCACCAGGGAGCGGAGTGTGCTGATAGGATTGCTGGTGAACCACCCGCTTGTAAGAACTGCACAAGGGCTAAACTGGATCAGGCAGAGCATAACGCCTTTAGCCGTGATTGCCCTATTCGCCAAAAATGGGATAAGATAGCACGATCATCTGTAGCCTACTGCTAAGGGCGACCAAGCGGAAACCTCCCAGTATAAATTCATTCAAGCAAACCTCCAAAGAAAGAAGTTAGCCACAAACGAGATTCTTCTTGAGGCACAGAAACGAGGCACTGCTGTTGCTCTTCTCCAGGAGCCATACGTGGGAAGGTCCAAGGCAATGCGTGGCTACCAAGGAGTACGGATCATCCAGAGCACAGGACAAGGAGATGGGACTGTTAAAGCGGCTATTGCTGTTTTCGACCACCAACTCAATGTTAAGCAGTATCCGAAACTCACCACAGACAACATCGTAGTGGTGGGGATTCAAACCAGTGCCTGGGAAATCACAGTAGTCTCGCTTTACTTTGAGCCGGATCAACCCATTGAGCCATACCTGGAGCACCTGAAGAAAATAGAACAACTAGTAGGACCAAACAAGTGGATTATCGGAGGTGACGCTAATGCAAAAAGCTCGTGGTGGGGTAGCCCAATAATTGATCACAGGGGTGACGAAATGTCCGGCGCTCTTGAGGAAATGGGCCTCAATATACTCAACGTAGGGGACATTCCGACCTTTGACACCATTCGGGGAGGAAAACGGTACCACAGCTATGTCGACATAACAGCCTGCTCGACAAATCTTCTGGCTCTAGTGGACAATTGGAGGATAAACGAAGGCCTGATGAGTTCGGACCACAACGGCATACTGTTTGAGATTCGCCTAGAAAAATCGGAAGGCATTATGATAAACAGGACAACAAGACTTTTTAATACTAAAAAAGCTGATTGGTCCAAGTTTCATGAGCAACTTGGACAATCACTACAAGAAAATAGAATAACAGAAAATGATATAAATAAAATTGACAATATAAACGATTTGGATACAGTTACAAAAAATTTGACAAATTCAATAAAACAAACCTGTCTATCAACGATGCCAACTAAGAAAGCGGAAGAACGCATCAGACTGCCGTGGTGGTCCAAAAAACTCGCAGAGCTTAAAAAGAACGTCGCTACGAAGAAGCGCAGAATTAGGTGTGCCGCTCCAATCCGAAAGCAGAAGGTCATAGAAGAGTACCTGAAACAGAAAGAGGAGTATGAGTCAGAGACAGCGAAGGCCCAGACAGAGAGCTGGAAAGAGTTTTGTTGCAAGCAGGATAAAGAGGGAGTGTGGGAGGGGATATACAGGATCATAGGAAGAACGACGCATAGGGAACAGGATCTACCACTGGAGGGCGAGGAGGGGATGTTGGACGAGAGGGGCTCTGTAGAACTGCTGGCCAAAACATTCTATCCAGAGGATGTACCCGACAGAGACAATACTCACCATCGCTACGTAAGACTCGAGGCCGACAGAGTGAACGCCGCAGATCAAGATGGCTCTTGTGACCCCCCGTTCACAATGTTTGAATTAACTCAAGCAAGTGAGTCTTTCAACCCAAAGAAGGCACCGGGATTGGATGGCTTCACGGCCGATATATGTTGCCGTGCCATTAGGGCCCAACCTAGGTTATTCTTAGCGCTCCTCAATAAATGTCTAGAATACCACCACTTCCCCAAGATATGGAAACAAGCAATAGTCGTCGTCCTAAGAAAACCCGGTAAGGATGACTACACAAAGCCAAAATCCTATAGGCCAATAGGACTGTTGCCTATACTAGGAAAGATTTACGAAAAGATGATCATGGCCCGCCTCAAACACCATCTACTGCCGAGGATTAGTACTCACCAGTATGGATTCATGCCGCAAAAAAGCACCGAGGACTCCCTCTACACGCTAATTCAGTATATCCGTAGAAAGCTAGATGAAAAGAAAATAATAACTCTAGTATCCTTAGACATAGAGGGAGCCTTTGATAGCGCCTGGTGGCCGGCAATAAGAGTCCGACTGGCTGAGGAAAATTGTCCCCCTCAATTTGAGGAGGGTCATAGACAGCTATCTTAGAGACAGGGAGGTGGTGGTCAGATACGCCGGTGAGGAGTATAAGAAAGCGACTACCAAAGGATGTGTCCAGGGATCCATAGGGGGACCTATCCTGTGGAACATCCTTCTTGATCCCCTCCTGAAAAAACTTGCGGACAGAGGTGATTACTGTCAGGCGTTTGCTGACGATGTCGTGCTGGTGTTCGATGGCAAAACAGCTCAAGAAGTCCAGGATCGTGCCAATGAAACTCTCGAACGTGTCAGGTCGTGGGGTGTCGAGAATAAGCTTAACTTCGCTCCACACAAAACATGCGCTATGATAATCACCAGAAAGCTTAAACACGACACACCACGACTGAGCATGGGAGGGGTTGCAGTTGGCATGTCGAAGGAAATAAAATTGCTGGGTATGACCATCGACGATAAACTGACCTTTAACACCCACGTCGCAAACGCTTGCAGGAAAGCCATAAACATATACAAGAAACTCTCCGGAGCGGCAAAAGTCAGTTGGGGCCTTCACCCGGAGGTGGTCAAAATCATTTACACGGCGACAGTGGAGCCAGTCATCTTGTACGCTGCTGGAGCATGGGGGTCGGCTGCAGAAAAACTAATGGTCATCAAGCAGCTGCAGACTGTACAACGGGGCATCGCCCAAAAGCTCTGTAAGGCCTACCGCACGGTCTCCCTGAACTCGGCACTGGTGCTGGCTGGGATACTCCCTCTAGACCTCCGAGTTCGTGAGGCGTCCTCATTGTACGAAGCCAAGAGGGGATTGCCCCAGTCAGTGCTGGCCGGGGGGGAGGTCGAGCGTATGGCATCAGCACTTGAGACTCCACATCCGGCCGAATGTCTCGAATTGAAGATCGTAAGCTTGGCAAATCAGGACGACGTGAACAATGCAGTTGTTTGCGATATGCATATTTACACGGATGGGAGCAAAATCGATGGCAAAGTTGGCGCTGCATTATCTGTATGGACTGGCGGGATGGAGGCCAAAACCCTCAAGCTTGCTCTGCCGGAATACTGTACCGTCTACCAAGCTGAGTTACTAGCAATAAGCCGAGCTACTCGAGTCATTCGCGCACACAACGCCTTGACCTACGGGATCTATAGCGACTCTATGGCCGCCCTTCTTACAATTAAGAACCCCCGTTGCCTTCACCCAATCGCAGTAGAAGCCAGAGAAAATCTTAAAGATATATCTCTCCAGGGCAAGGTAGTCACCTTGTTCTGGATAAAAGCTCACGCAGGTTTTGAAGGCAATGAACGAGCAGACCAACTCGCGAAGGAAGCGGCCAAGAACTCCAAGAAGAAACCGGATTACGACCTTTGTCCGGTTTCATTCGTCAAGCGGTGCATTCGCCAGGCAACGCTTGACGAATGGAATCATAGATATAAGACAGGTGAAACGGCCGCAGTTACAAAAATGTTTTTCCCGGATGCAGTAAATGCATATAGAATTGTCCGTAAGATTAAAATAGACAGTCACAAAACACAAGTGATGACAGGACACGGTGGATTCTCCGAGTACTTAAACCGTTTTAAGTGCAAGGAGAGTCCATCGTGTATCTGCGACCCTGCGATACCCGAGTCAATCCCTCACATAGTGTTAGAATGCCCCGTCTTTGGCATAGAACGTTTTGAAGTTGAGAGTAAGATGAAAACCAAAATAACGGCTGAAACTGTGAAGGATATCATGGAGAGTGATCAAAGAAATGTATTTCTAGATTATTGCGTAAGAATAGCGAGAAAAGTAATTGTAAGAAATAAAAGTAGTTAAGAAAGTATGCTGTATTAATATATTGATGTATATTACTTATAAGCATAATACTGTAGTAGATTAAAATATTGTTAGCAAGTAAGCAGTAGCAAGAATAAAATAGATCTGGTTGTGTACATTTACTTCCCTGAAATAATGCCCAGCAGTGGAAAAAGAAGGAAAGAATAGAAATAAGAATGTAGTTAGATTAGATAATAAAGAATAGATAGAAGGGAATCCCACCCTTAGTAGAAAGAAAGACGATGAGTGCAAGAAAGAACTAGTATGTAGAATGAAAGTACGAGAAGCATAGAAGCGAGAACTGGTATGAAAGAGAAACAGCTGAAATAGTCTCCGATAATGTTGGAGGTAGAAGTTTAAAAAAAAAAAAAAAAAAAAAAAAAACCTAACCTAACTAACTAACCTAACCTAACCTAACCTAACCTAACCTAACCTAACCTAACCTAACCTAACCTAACCTAACCTAACCTAACCTAACCTAACCTAACCTAACCTAACCTAACCTAACCTAACCTAACCTAACCTAACCTAACCTAACCTAACCTAACCTAACCTAACCTAACCTAACCTAACCTAACCTAACCTAACCTAACCTAACCTAACCTAACCTAACCCTAACCTAACCTAACCTAACCTAACCTAACCTAACCTAACCTAACCTAACCCAGTACACATCTGAAAGTGACATATTCAACATAAGCTCCACGGAGAAATTGCTTAAAAAATAGCAATTTTTGAGCTACGCGAGTGGAAGTGCTGTGAAAAAGTTTTTGAGTGTGCAGTTCATCAGTGTAATTGGGGAGAACTCTGTGCATTGGATGGTTTAGGATCAGTAGCCTCTTAACTTTGGGGATAAATAGTGTCGACACCAAGTACTCATCAGTACTTGAGAGCCGCTATAGAGATCAGTAAAACGGCGAAAGAATCAAGAAAATCGGCCCACAAACACAGAAGTTATTGACTCCTTAAAATTAACAACTTAACCTCAAACCACGTGGTTGCAACGTGCTTTCAGACGTTGAGGTTAAAGCGAGTCAGTGAACACGAGGCGTCCGGCGACGGTGCAGACTTCAGTGGAGCCTTCGAAGACGGACCGAGGAATCCCTCAAGCATACAATCGCCGCAGCTGGAGACACTTTCAACGGCCATCAGGTAAACCCCGAGGGAACTCCTAGACCCCTTACTCCTGACCACCCGAGTTTGGACTCATTTGAGTCAGTTTCTCAAGACCCCACCACACATATCACCTCCCCCCCCCCATATAAAACCCCTATCCTTGAACCCCCCCCCCCACCTTTAACACCCTCTTTCACCCTTCCTACCCTCCTAACCCCTACAATCTTTAATTTTAAACCAGATATACGCTCCTTACGAATTCCCCCCCCCCCACCCCCCCCCAACTACCTACGCCCCCTCATTTTTTATTATACCATATATAAGCTTCCCGCGAATTTAACCCCCCCCCCATCCCCCCTCGCCCCTCGAGGCTTACCTCTCCCCCGCGAGCCATAACTAGTTTACCAGAGGAGCTAGACCCCCGTGTAAGGGCTCATTTGAATCAGGAAAAAGAGCTCTACCTTCTAGCCCCTACAGAATTTTGATTTTCCACCATAGTCCGATACCAACCTGGACAATAACACCTCAAGCATACTCCAGGACTCACAGCATACCAACCGGAGATCCCACAACGGGCTCTTTATTCGCGTCCATCGTACTCTTCACTGCAATTCAACCATCGAAGAACACCAGCAGTGAGTTCACAAAAAAAAAATATAATAAATATCTTCAAATATTTAAAAATATATAATACTTGTATAATATTTTATAAGGCATTACCTATATTTATAGCTACTAAGGCAACTTACAATTAGAGAATTATTTAATTTTTGTAATTATGTCAGGAAATAAAGTAATCATGTCGGATGTGGAGACTGCTTCTTCAATCAAGTCCTCCCAAAACCTTTCTGTTGCTCCACCTAGACCTCCACGATCGCTGCGGGAAAAAGTACTTACAAAATCCAGTTTATCAAAAGCAACACCTAGCGAGAAGTTGTCGCAGCCATCATCTCATCCCGCAACAGGAAAACGTCCAGCGGACTCTGCTCCGACAGACGCATCTACAACAAGAAAAAATGCCTCTTCGCATACCCCCACTCTGGGAACTAAAATGTCGCAAACTTCAGTTAAAAGCGACAGCTCGATCCGATCCTCCGTTTGTGACCCGGTAGATGCGGCTATCGACAAAGTAGCTAACTGGAAGCAGGAAGAAATTCCTCCACTTCCAGTTTTATCCGACGAAGAACTTTCGATCACATCTGCGCCGGAATCACCACTATCGGAGGCACCGGAAAAAGGAAGACCCAGCCTGCTTTTTAACTCCAACAGGCGACTGGGGGTGGAAATGGATATGGCAACAAAAGAAGCGAACGAAATGCTTCTGAGAGGGAAGGAAGCGCTAGAAATGGCAGGGAATATGAAGAGGGAGTGTAAGTTAACAGCTTTAGAGAGTCTGCAGTCCCTCTACGAGATGGTCCTGGCGCTGTCAGATTCCAGATCTAGACATAAGCATAATCTAGAAAGGGAACGCTCACGCAACGCTCAAGAACTAATGCGAGTGGAGCGCGCCCTTAACAAGATCATCACCCAGCTTATGAAGGAAATGGCTTCCGAACTAGGCCATGCCAGGACAGATATAAAAAATACCCTCCAGGAATCCAAGGCGATACGGGGTTGGTTGAACTTCGAAACCCAAGAGCCCTTCCGCAAAACGAGCGACCTACTCAAAGCTGTGACGGACTTAGACAAGCGCATAGGTGTGATTCAGTCGAACTTGAGTCAGCAGAAGCAAGAAGGTGCAGACAACATTTTATCTCACCTAAGAGTGGACCTTACTGGAGTAAAATCTAGTGTGGAAACACTCAAACTTCAATTGGACGAAATGCGCAGAGTCATCGAAAAGTCCGAAAACAACACCAAGAAGGTTCTGGAGACCGGCCAAAAAACCCTGCTACGCCTGGAGTCACCACCATCCCACCCCTCAGAGGAAATAAGTAAAACGTTGGAACATGAGCTGAATGGAATGAAGAGTTCGCTGAAGGAGATAGATACAAGTATCAGATCTGGACTTTCAATCTTACCTTCAGCGAACTCCAGTAAAATATTCCAAACCAGCATAAGGGAACATCTTCAACCAATAGAAGAACACTTAGGTGCAATGTCATCCGAGCTGAGGACGATGAGAGAGCAGAAGCAACGGGCCCCATCACCTACAGCCCCAAGTCTAGCAACAGAGCTTGCACAAACTGGCGAAGCAGCAACAAAGCCAAAAAAGACATACGCCAGAGTGGCTGCAAGCCCTCCCCTTCCTAAACCCAATCACACTCTCATTATCACATCAACTGATTCGAAAAACACAGCCGAAAATATCATCGAGAGAATCAGGGAGGCTCTAGACACAAAAAAGACTGGAGCCAAAGTAGATAGGGTAAGGAAGGCGAAAAACCAAAAAGTCGTCCTCAGTTGCAACACCAAGGAGGATCTTAACCTTGTCCAAAATAGAGTTAAGACAAATAAAAGTTTAAAAGTAGAGGTTGCCAGAACAAACAATCCCTTGGCGATAATCAGGGACGTGCTATCGTATCACACAGACGTCGAAATCGTGGAAAATATACTGGCGCAGAACAAACACCTTCTGCATGACGTCGATGAGAAAGAACGAACAGTCAGAGTTCGATACAGGAAAAAGGCGAGGAATCCACAAGAGTGCCATCCTGTACTTGAGCTCTCTCCAAAAGTGCACAGGCGCTTCATTGATGCGGGTAAAATTTACATCGGCCTCCAAAGAAGACCAATAATGGATCACTCTCCCCTTGTGCAATGCACAAAATGCCTCGGTTTTGGCCACACAAAAGCAGTGTGCCATGAAAAGGAGGAACTCTGCAGTCACTGCGGAGAGACCCATTCATGGGACAAATGCCCGATCAGACTGGAGGGGAGACCCCCCCCCGATGTAAAAATTGCCTCAAAGCGCACGGTGCCGATACGGACCTGGCACACAATGCTTTTAGCTTTGATTGCCGGGAAAAGCAGAATTGGGATGCAATAGCACGGTCCCGCATATCTTACTGCTAAGGGCAACCAAAATAATATAAATTCCAACATTAGTAGGTCAGACCTCAAAATCATTCAGGTGAACTTGCAACGCTCCAGGGTAGCAACGGCGGAACTACTTCAGGTTGCATCGAATAAAGGAGTGTCGATTGCCATAGTACAGGAACCCTATGTGGGAAAAAATGGCGTTATTAAGGAACATCCTGGCACGCGAGTAGTTCAATGCAGCCTGAATAGACAAAAACCGGTAAAGGCCGCAGTGCTGATCTTCGGAGATCAGCTGGAGATTATCCATGATCCACAGCTGGTTACCGAAACAGAAGCGGCAGTACTTCTCGTTGCAGGAAATTTAAAACTGGGAGTCGCGTCAGTTTACCTCGAGGGAGAGCAAGATATAAATCCCTACCTTAGGCGAATCCAAGCAGCTTGCGCAAAACTTCACACAAACAACATCATAGTGGCTGGAGACATAAATGCTTGGAGCCAATGGTGGGGAAGTAATTCCGAAGATGAAAGAGGCGCGGCATATAACACCTTCCTCAATGAAATGGATCTCCATATTCTGAACACGGGTGACACGCCTACCTTCGAAACATACAGAAGGGGGAGAATTTGTTCGAGCATAGGAGACGTCACTGCTTGCAGTTCGTCACTTCTCGGCAATGTGGAGGACTGGAGAGTGGAGAGAAGCCTAATTACATCAGACCACAACGCGATTATGTTTACACTGCGCACCAAAGCGGTCTTGACACAATTACGGCCTTGCACATCGCGCAAATACAACACCAGAAAGGCAAACTGGTCGGACTTCTCAACACGCTTTAGATCCCTTCTAAAAGAAAGAGCCATAACTCCCACACTAATTGAGGAGGCGGAAATCCATGACGATCTGGAATCCATCACAATAGCCTACACAAAAGCAATCCAGGAATCTTGTGATGAGACTATTCCGAAAATGGGCATGAGGGGGGTGAATGCAACGCCCCCATGGTGGTCAAAATCCCTCAACCAACTCAAAAAAGAAGTCCATAGGAAAAAAAGACGTATTAGAAATGCGGCACCAAGTCGAAGACAACACGTAATAGACGAATACATAAGTTTTAAACAACAATACACCATAAAAGTTGAGGAGGCGCAAACCGAAAGCTGGAAGGAATTCTGCACGACACAGGAAAGGGAGAGCATGTGGGATAAAATTTACAGAGTTATCCGGAAATCCTCAAGAAGATATGAGGACATGCTCCTAAGAAACATCCAAGGGGAAACTCTGACACCAAAAGAGTCGGCAGAACTCTTGGCCCAAACATTTTACCCTGACGACTGTGTGGAAACAGATCAGCCATACCACACCAAAATACGAGAGCTGACGGAAATTAACAAAGACCTAGGTTTGTCAGAAGATGACCCACCTTTTGCAGAAGCGGAGCTTGAATCAGTGTTACAAACACTAAACCCCAAAAAGGCCCCTGGACCAGACGGGCTAACAGCTGACATCTGCTCCGCTGCAATAAACTGCAACAGGAAGGTATTCTTAGCGATAGCCAACAAGTGCTTGAAATTGGCGTACTTTCCCAAGCAGTGGAAAACTGCATACACATCCAAAGTCATACCGACCAATAGGTCTCCTGTCAGTACTCGGAAAAATAGTCGAGAAGTTGATGGTGGGCCGACTCCAGTGGTACATCCTCCCAACCCTTAATAAAAACCAGTATGGGTTCATGCCTCAACGTGGTACAGAGGACGCCCTCTATGATCTATTGAAATACATCAAAAACGAAGCGAGGAATAAGAAGATCGTCCTTGTTGTTTCATTAGATATAGAGGGAGCCTTTGACAACGCATGGTGGCCAGCATTAAAACTGCAACTAGCCAAAAAGAAATGTCCCAAAAACCTCTACGATATGGTTGGCTCTTACCTTCAAGATCGAAAAATCGTAATTAACTATGCCAGAGCAACGAATGAGAGGGGAACTACGAAGGGCTGTGTTCAAGGATCTATCGGTGGACCAACCTTTTGGAATGTTATCCTAGACTCACTGCTGCACCAACTTACGAACGAAGGGGTGTATTGTCAGGCATTTGCAGATGACGTCGTCTTGGTGTTCTCGAGTCACTCAACGAGTGCCCTGGAGCAACAGGTCAATGACACTCTAAAAAGAGTAAAGAAGTGGGGAACCAAGAACAAGCTAAAGTTTGCAGCGCATAAAACAAATGCAATGCTTGTCACTAAAAAACTTAAATTTGACCTCCCCAACCTGCAAATGTCCGGCAGCAGAGTAAACCTCGTAGAGGAAATTAAAGTACTCGGTCTCATCATTGACCGTGGACTCACCTTTAAACCGCATGTAGCAGCCGTTTGCAAAAAAGCGGCTGACATATACAAACACCTTGCATGCGCGGCCAAGGTGACCTGGGGTCTCAATGGTGAGATTGTAAGGACAATATACGTTGCAGTCGTCGAACCTATAGTGATGTACGCTTCGAGCGCGTGGTCCTCAGCAACAGAACTTCAGATGATCAAAGACCAACTAAACACGTTGCAAAGGGGCTTCGCGCAGAAGATCTGTAAAGCGTACCGCACGGTATCGCTCACTTCCGCGCTTGTCATCTCGGGTCTGCTTCCGTTAGACCTGAGAATAAAAGAAGCGTCCAGCTTGTACCAAACCAGGAAACAAGACACACTGGACTATTTACCACCAGGAAGAGAGCTTGAAAACCGTGTAAATCACTTGGATCAACCTCATCCCTCTAAACTCGTCAAATTGGAATATGAGCTACTGGAAACAATCGGAAACACAAACCTCCACCAACTAACCGGCCCTCACATATACACCGATGGAAGTAAGATAGAAGGGAGGGTTGGAGCAGCTTTAACGTGGTGGAAAGATGGTAGGGAGATCAGTAGTTCCACCTTTAGACTGGATCCATCCTGTACAGTCTTCCAATCCGAGCTCTATGCCTTGCTCAGGGCGACCAAACTAGCTGAATCGAGCACTAAACCTGTTGTTAACATTATGAGTGACTCAAGATCTTCGCTCGATCTGCTGGCAAACCCTAAAGCAAGCCACCCCCTATCAAAGGCCATTCAAGAAAGCATAGGGAAGATGAGAAAAGAGGGAAGAGTGATACGGCTGTTTTGGTTGAGGGCTCATGTAGGCACGTCTGGAAATGAGAGAGCTGATGAGCTTGCCAAGGCGGCGGCACTCCGGGAGACAGCCACTCCAGACTACGACAAAATCCCCATGTCCTACGTTAAAAAGAAAATCAGAGAGGAAACCGTTCGAATCTGGCAGGACAGATACGAGACCTCGACCACTGGGCAAGTCACCAAAATATTCCTACCGGATGTTGCAATAGCATACCGGATAGTGAGAAAGACGAAGTTGACACCCACACAGGTACAAGTGTTAACAGGACATGGTGGAATTGCGGAGTACTTGCACCGCTTTAAGCTTAAGGATACACCAGGGTGCGAGTGCGATCCCAATGTCAGTGAGTCAGTGTGGCATGTGATTCTGGAGTGTCCCCGCTATCAGGCGGCACGTCTGGATCTCGAGTTTTGCATAAACACCAATCTTGACAAGTCTGACCTACACAAAATCATCGAAGACGAATAAAAAGGCCCAAATATCTGGCATTCGTGGAGTCCATCTTTCGCGCTGCTGCAAAGCGTAACGCCATGAACTATCCATTCCCCAGGGAGCAGTAAACTGTTGCGGAATTCGCAGAGGTCTCCGTAAAGGAGAAGAGCATCCCAGCCAATAAAGCAGACCATCAGCTACTTGCATGCGCTGAAAGAGGTAACCCAGGCCTGAGAATTCGAGGAGTAGCTCTCTTCATGGATAACAACACAGAGCGTTTCGGCTTAAGTTTTTGCTTAACAACTGGCCGAAACTATGTCAAAATATCTCCCGGTCTCGCAAGCTTACTAAACGGCAGTACTCTCAAAACGAGCATGAAGCGCAAAACATATGAGGCGCTAGTTGAAATAGAGGTTGCAAAGCAACGATGTCGAATAGTAAGATCGAAAAACAAAACGATCTTGCTGTTCACATGGAGCGAAGAAAAAACCCCATTCGCCCAGGCATGCTCACTGCTAACGAGACTCGGTGAGGAAGAGACATCTGTCATACCCCGCATCATAAGTGTGGATGCCATGGTGGTCCTATATGAGAAAGGTGAAGTCATGGACCACTTTGGTTGTATAAAAGCCTCAAACAAACATGAAATAGTCGTGTATGAGGATAGGGGCGAAAACCTGAGCTTCCTCAAACATCACGACTCAGCAAAGGCAACCCAACATCTTGTAGCAAATCCAGAGACACTTAGTGGCTCAGAACGCCTGCAACTGAAAACGGCCAAAGAAAAGGCCGC